CGTAAATAATCGGATCACGCCTGAGGCAAGTAAGTATATATAAACCATTGACAACAACCTAATTACGATCGCAAAGTGATTCTAAACCTGTAACTGACATTTAAGGTGAAATGAGATCAATTACTTGCTTCAGATCGGCGTATTGTCATTGTCAGTTAGCTATGTCCAGTCTGAATAGTCTGTGCTTGTTGAGATCTCGATAAATGGCATCAATCAGCAGATCAGCTAGATTCCCATCTCGAGTGGTCTGGGCCTTTTCAACAAAGCTACCCTTGTGGTACATCACTTCATCACAGTAGCGTGAAACTCGATAATGGACCTGGATCAAACACAAATAAGGGTTTTGAAATGAAGGGAAGTATCTGGGCCTTATGTATTCAAGCGTCAAGGGTACAAAGTTGGCAGGCTGTTTCTAAATCAACATTGAGCGAAAAAACTGTAAATGATATTTCCCTCATATACAACATATACCCATAGGAACGAATAAGTGAACACATGAAAGTCCAAGTGTTCCTTTCTTTATGTCCAGAATTTCACCTCGGTGCAATGCATACCTTGTGAAGAAATCTGAAAAAGAATAAAGGAACACTTGTACTTTCACGTGTTCCCTTATTCGTTTCCATGAGTATAAATGTCAAAACGACAATTGTGTCTGCAGCATAGTTTTAGTAGTCATACTTCTTTTAATGAAGCAGTAGTTTGATAATGTTCCAAGTGAATGGATGAGATGAAAGCATGTGATGTGTCTTGTATCTTCTATGTATTAGTCATTGAAATGTAAGTGCTGATTTATTCACATGAGCTTCTTTTAACCAGTGTACAAGAGATACAGAAGCTTAACGTAAGTCAGAGATGTCAAAATTGTGAGGTATGAGCTGAGGGTGCTGCTTTGTCGTAAAATAATACACATGGATTGGTTTCAAGAGTTCTTTGATATTTGCCAAGTTCTCTCAGAACTCTCTTGGATACCTTCAAATCAGAGATGACTTACGGATTTCAACTTTTGTATAATTCAAATATATATACATGTAGTAGTATCATGAGGCAAGTGATCTACAAGTGAGGGAGGTAGTGCTCTCTAGCGAACAGTCTATACACAGTTTAACACATAAAGACAATAGACAGGGATGGCAGAGTGATTGTGTAATCATTTAGAAACAATAGGTGAGGTGAGGTGAAATTGGGTTTTACGTCGTGCTTGAGAATATTTGGCTCATATGACGACGTGCATGCGTGTGTATGTGTATGTGTGGCTGCATTTAGAAACAATAGACAGGTATGATACAGTGATAGTGTAATCATTTAGAAACAATAAGCAACAAAGGCATGTGCTTTGTGAAACTGTCCCTCGAAAATGCATGACACTGACTCCTTCCAACTCGATGTCGACCATGGTGGTTATTTCACCGTGCAATATTGAGCCTGACAAGAAACCCGGAAAAAGAGTATGGGAACACTTGCACTTTCGTGTGTTCATTTATTCGTTTCCATGAGTATATGTGTGTATACTTTTCCTGTAATTAGTGACCTTCAGTTCATGTGCTATAAATACCATTTACATACTATACAGGGATGATTAATGAGGCATCAAAACAGGTATCCAAAGGAGTCACACACAGGTTCAGACAACTGACAGTCATTCGTGTAAACATGAGCATTAATCAAGCACCACCTACTTCTTTATAAACGATAAGTAGGAAAACACTACATGTTGTATATGTTTTAAAAACAAATTTCTGTGTGATGTCTTTCAGTGGCATTTAGAAGTTGTACATTGATGTCCAAGATGTCCATGTGTTATCATAGTAACTGCAACATATTTTACTCAAAGCTGAAATTGAAACTTGGTAACACAAAAAACATCAACATCAACAATGCCGGAAAGTATGGTCATCGTGGCTGATTGTCACACAGTTCTCAAATGATTATTGTCGTCATTGAACCACCACTGACAACCACATCAGTGATCCTCGCGTTCATCGAAATCCTCTGTTATTCCACGTGGAGTGCCTGCGTCAATTCCTGCAAATTCTGAACAGTGGGATTTCTAGGAAGAATGTGGCGTCCAAAATAATCCCGAAAATGGGCTCACATCGGGATTCCCTATTACTGGTCAAGGTAATATTTCGATGGCGTTGTTTTGCAATGGACGGTGACGGCCCCAGAACAGTGAGTGTCTAATGTTTTCATCCATGACTAATATATTGACTATCGCACAAGTGGCAAAGGGATGGCTATGGAATGTGGTACGACGACGGTGTCCAGTAATTCCTGTTGATAACTTCCATCATTGATTGTACCAGGAAGTGTAATGAGATCCAAAATGCAGTCAACCAACACCACCACTGAGCCACCAGCAAGAGGTTCAACTGCATGGACCATATTGTCGATATTCCTCGCTACGATGTCTCCGTTCGCGACAACAACCGTCTGAACGCGAAGAAGACAGCAACTTTCATCCGACCAGTGACCTCCACGTATATACGTCATGTCCTCAGGTTGCGGTTTTCTCGGGCCTGCACGTTCCTGTCTGTGCCGATCTGTGAGGAATAGACCACGATCATCACAGTCATTGATCTTCCAGGTTTTAGACGATCCTTCATTTCAAGGTGGTTATGTGGTCCAACGCAAGTGGACTAATCACCGAGTGGTTCATGTTCGAGTTACCACCGATGTTGAGACCGGGAATCCCTGCGTCATGGCAGTAACTCGCTATCGTGTATTTTCTGACATTTTATGTCTTGCCATGACAAGAATAGTCGGTTTAAATCAGTTCTGAAAACTGTAGTGCACATACTTTTGAAAGTATTGTTCCAATGTGCTTGGCGTCTTTGCAACACGAGAATATAGATTTTGAGAAATTGTGTAAAGCACGTGCATCACATGTGCATTACAGTATGCTGATGTATGATCGCCTGTTGGAACAAACACATCAAATATGCCCAAATTAATGCTCATGTGTATGTCTTTGCTTTCTACATACACGTGAACCCAACATGTCATTTGTTGCTTGGGAGAGGGTGAGGATGGAGCGAAGGTGGTCTCCAGTCACTAAAATGCAGATCCTGGATTCCTTTAGTGAAACCCTTTGACAAACCAAGATAAGCTGGTAGAACCTTCGATTTGAAACCCCGATCATCGGATTCTGTTGAACGTTCGAGGTACTCATGGAATTGTTTTCTTTATTCATTATGCAAAGATTTATCAAAAAATAGTATTAAATTAACATATTCTCACTTGAATCAATTTGCAATGATAATATTAAAGATAGGAAATAAGTTAATAACACTGATGAATTAAAAAAAATTCAAGAATGTTTTGCATGATTGCCAGTTGGAACTCATTCCAGTTGACTGAAGCAAGATTTTATGGGTGCTTACAGTGTTTATACTGGTTCCTGTTGACATCAGCAGTAACTTCCTAATGGGTGAGGTGAGGTGAAATTGGGTTCAACGTCGTGCTTGAGAATATTTAGCTCATATGACGACGTGCATGCGTGTGTATGTGTATGTGCGGCTGCTTGTACCAGCCCAGACTTAAGCTGGTTTTATAGTGCTAGCCCACTGAGATACCATGCCGCAGTGAAGCATGAATACCCCACTCAGACACATTATACTGACTCCGAGCCGACCAGTCCTTGTTGTACCCATTAATGCCGAGCGCCAGGCAGGGACCAACAAGTACCATATTATAACGTCTTTTGGTATGAAGCGGTTGGGGATCGAACCCGCAACCTTCCGCTCTCCAGGCGGACACTCTAACCACTACATCACGGAGGCGGTCAACTTCCTAATAACTGACAGTGTCAATGTAAGCATGATTATACAAATTTCATATGGTCGGGAATGGCAACGAATCGAACAACAAAACTTAAAGATAAGTGAATATGCAAAATAAACCAAAATACATAAGACTAATAATCTTAACCAACTTTTTTCCAATTCTAACCAATGAGACACAGAAATATAATTGAGGACTGTTCACTTTAGATCAAAGACAGTTTTAAAATTATGACACATGCAAGACATCATTCAAACAATTTATCATGAGTATAAACAGTTCGGATTAAATAGTAAATTCATGTGCTTACAATCAGGAAATATCAGTACAGGTTGGTATCAGTTCAGCCTCCTGAGTACTCGACCTGGACACCAAAACAGGTGTTGATACTAAATGATAGCATTAGCACATCATCATAATACTCGAACATGTCAAATGTCGTGAAAACTCTGAATACCCTGTACATGGGATGTTTTTCATATAGGAAAACTACAAAGACTCGACTGAAAACAATATAGCAACATTTTCAAGTACCATCTATGTGCACATTTATATTGTTCTTGGTCATGAAAATAGGAAAAGGCTACCCCTAACTACAAATGAATTTAGGACAAAATAGGTACATACCATTAGAAAGATGAGGCTCTTTAAACCCCATCGAAGGTCACTGAAGTTGCCATATTCTACTCTGGGGATCAATTGCATGCCTGAAGCCAGGTTCCAGAATGTTCGAAACAGTTTCCAACAAATTCAAACCTGGACTCAAGGCAAAATTTAATGCTGCGTTAAAGAGTTCTCTTACAGAATATCTGAAACGAATCTAAAAAACCCATGGGATGTGAACTTATCCTAAAGAATTATTTGAGTGATGCTTGTAAACAAAATAGAAAAGCTGGCTATCCAGAGTTGCATCCCTTGTATTCCATAAATATGAACAGCAATATTTTTATCAGATTGCCACTACTGTTTCTTCAAAGTGGTAAATAGTAAGGCCTGCATCACTTTGGACTTCCATCACAATTTCAGCTGACAAACCTGCGATTAATTGAAATATTGTTCAAAAAGTCTTTGAGCTAAACTAACTCATACATCCTTCAAACACAATTCATTGCATGGTTGAGTTAAATCATGGAACGAATAATCTTTTTATGGAGATTTTGTCATGATTTTCTTCTGGAATATGGAAGTGTCTGAAGTAAAAGCATACAGAAAAGAATGTAAGAAAACAAATTTAATCACACAAAGACTTTTCATTTCCACTCTTTACTCTCCAGTGACTCCTGTTTTGATGGAGGTTCAAGACTTTGCCAGAACTCCTCCTCAGGGTCAATTGTGTAAGGGTCCTCTTCCAGGTGAACTTGACCTGGTTTACCCCAGTTGGTCCACAGACTCTCGAGGTCATAATGTTCCCTGGTCTCTGGCATGAATATGTGGACAATGATGTTCCCTAAAACAAGAAGCATATTCAAAACATACATGACATAAGTATGTTGCAGTAACTGGATATGTTGTCAACAGTCTAAAATGTTAACTTACGGAGGTAACAGAGATAGACATGCAAGAAACGTTAACTGACACTCCAAAATGTTCTGTACATACACTGCAGACTAATGTTTTAAGTATTAAGAAAAGAAATCAACACTCATTAATGTTTCAAAATCTTCAAGATGAACATACTATTGTGAGAAATTGTTATAATACAGAACTGAAAACTTTACTTTTTTCAGCCTCAAGAACCCATGCAGACCTATTGGTTTTCACCATAACATCACAAACTGTTTTCCCCATTGTTTCATGAAAACAGAAACTTAATATCATCTCTGACAAAGTTCAGGTTATTCCATACGGATGTCAAATACACAATACCATTTAGAAGGAGGTCAAATGTAACCTCTGTTATATTCGTGATTGTAAATGTAAGATATGGAGTCAAGCCAGTTTACACTTGTCAGAGGGGCACACAAAGTCTGTGATGTGGACTACCAAATGTCAGACTTCACTTTTGTGGAAGCCATGTTGGCTAAGTGGGTTAGATGGCCGACGTTGTGTGCTGGCGATAAAGGCCGACTCTGAGAGTGTGCTGGCAGATAGAAGTGCCGGACTCTGAGAGTGAGAGTTCAAAAGAATCCTGGATGGGACTAAACCTAACAACAGTACTAGAATCTGTACTTTTATGAATCCTTGAGCTGTGCTGAGAAAGTGTAATTCCAAATATAACATGATACTGATGTTACTGAAGCAAAGAACTATGGCATCTGAACAAATGCATTGCTTTATTTCAAATTGGTTTAATTGTTTCAGCAAATGATGCTTATATTTTAGGGAAATCCCTTTGACTGACTGAGTTTAGTTTTACACCGCTTTTAGCAGCATTTCCGGCGTGGGGACACCAGAAATGGGCTTCACACATTGTGCCAAAGAGGCCAACACTTTTAGGCTACCCCACCACCCCAAAATCCCTTTGGAGAGCATACCATATACAATCTTTCATACATCTGAACAAACTCATTGCTTTCAATTCATTCACACTGGGGATTCCCACAACAAAGAGGAATTAGTCTGTCAGCGTTATGTCATTTCAGGAACATAACCTCATGAAAAAAATACAAATATCAAAATGTGTCATTCATACACTTGTGAACATCTGTTGTACGTTTGTGGTCTGAAGGCCATGTATACTGACCTAGGTCCATGGCATGCCAGTCGGATGATGTCTCGTACCCCTCAACTTTCAAGGGCAGATCCTTGTCCCCATCCTCTGTTTGTGCTGGAGAGAAGCACAGGGGACATCTTACAATCTTTGAAGTACATGCATAATGATCTAACGACAAATGAAACATGATTCACTTTCTAACTTAATTGCCTTCAAATTACAGTAGTTATCGTTTAAGCAGTGCATCAAAATATTATCCTAAAAAGTTGTAAACTGATAGTCCAAATAAGCTTTGAAAATCTTTATAACTCATCCTATCTCATTGCAACGGTCTTGCGATGCGGCACTGTAGATTTTCAACGCTCTAACATTGCAGAGTGACAAATCTTCCTCATAATGGGGCGCGGAAATGGTGGCCAAGGTGGAATAGTGAAGAGTCTATCCCACTGTCCGGAACTGGTTCTTTGATATAACGTGTAGATGAAGAGCCTGGGACAACCAGTGCAGATGATTGGAGTGAAGTGGATCCACACATCATCTCATATACATGATATAGGTAGAGTGAGAAGGTTCGAATCAGCAGGACTTGACTCTTCGACAATACCAACTCCAAGCCAGCCAGAAGGGCTTGACCAAAAGGAGTAGAATTTAATTTTTTTATCATTCTTAAGTCATTTTACAAAAATTACACAGTTCAGACAAGGGAGGTAATTTGGTAAGCTTTATCAAATTAACACAGATAATGGCATATTTTGAAAAACATTGGGTGATATTAAATAATCAGTTGAAAATTTTGATAAATATGTAATTAATTTTTATCCACCACACATGCATTCTCTTCCCACAGAGGTTACTTGTCATATCTTCCTACGAACCTCTGTTCTAATACGGCCATATTTTCCGGTTCTCGTAAAATCCCCTAGCGGCAAAAGATCGCAACACGAATTATCTCCCTTCTTTCTATCCAATCAGAACACGTGTTACATCGACTTAGATTCAACTTGACTAACACAAGCAAATGTGGGGCCACAAATATCCTCCATCTGCCGGGGATTTGTGTTGATGTTACACACAAGACGTTTAATGGCTAGCTTGTCCGTTGTCAACGAGGGCGATGGAGACGCCACTGATCCGCAATAACATGACTGAGTTCTGTCTAGAAGAAACGTTTGCGCATCGCCCAGGGGAAGAAGTTTAGTTTTCTCGAAGCATACGGAAATTACCAAGGCCTTGCGAATGATCACTTTTGAAACAACGTCGCTGATTGCACAACTAAATCTGATTGCCTCCAATCACGAGTCTTGAACGCTCACACCATGAAAGGGCCGTATTAGAACAGAGGTTATGTAGGAAGATATGACAGGAGTAACCTCTGTGGGAAGAGAATGCCACACATGATGAATGTATATTTTACTTACCACCCACTTGATGCGATTTGACATGCTTCGGAGGTGGCGATACGATGCCGCACTGACAATAACCATATTGTCTCCAAACCGTGCCTCAGGTGGAATATTGATAACAACAATGTCACGAGCATTCTCTTTTTCCAGAAGTGTCACAAGGTCATCAAGTTCAAACACACCACTAACACCTCCTGTAACATGGATGACAATGAGGAATTAAACAATGATAACATTATGAAACTTATACATAAGCACTGATAACATACAGATTTATTACTCCTTTGTGTTCATCATGTCCAAGGCTACCCTACCACCCAGAAACATTGTTTTCATATAGATACAAACATTATTCAAATGTGGTTAAAACATTTAAAATTCTTAACTACAATTAACTTCACTTTTATGCAAAACTATCAAAAAGGCTAACAATTTCACTGAAGGGGTTGTTGTTGGCATGGGTACTACAAATGTGTACTCCAGTAGCCAAATACAGCATGCAGAAACGTATCCTAGGACGAGTCCATTCTACATTGTGCCGTTTTCTTGATTGGAACTGCCATAAAGTATTAGATGCATTTGACTGCATTATACAAGAAATGAGCTTGTACAGTAACGAATATTTCGTGATACACAGTACCACTCACAATCATTTTAATGTGAACAACTACATACAATTTCGATTTTGGGTTGAAGAATAGGGACTTGTTCCCTGTTTAGGGTACCAGGTAAGTTTCTGTATTTGAACTTTGTTTTGGGTACATTTCTGTATACAGAAACGTACCTTGGGTACATATATCTGTAGTACCTGTGCCGACGACCTTTTCAGCAACAATTTCCGTGTGTGACAAAATAGTAAAGTGTGAAATCAGTGCAGTAACTTACAAAAGTGTCTGACAAAATAAAATCTGTAATATTTGATAACAAATGATTTAAGAATGGAAAATATATAATATGAACTGACGTTTTAACCCAATCGGTGAGACCCATGCTGGTTCTATTTCTTGTCGCTCAAATTGCTCTACATCTTCGATTTCTGGATCCATAGCTACAACTTTCAAGTCACCAGCAACTGAAGGTGTGTCTTTCTTATGAGCTTCATTTTGTGAAATAGTTTCGGTGTTCTTGTCTGGTTTGTCGATGTCAGTGCAAGACTTCTCACTTTTAAAGTCATGTTGTATTTCATCTAAAAGTGATTTCATTTCTGGATCATTTTTAAAATCGAAGTCTTTGCTACAGTATGACTTTGTCTGACAACTGATTGGTTGAGACAGCACAGACCGATAGCAACTGTGGACGCTCTGGTAACAGGGAATCCGTGATACTAAGGACAGTGAAGCACAGGTCACACCAATATGACATTGAGAACAATTCACTGCTCTCATTGTATTTGTCCTAATCACACCCGAGAGCACCGCGCAGGTTCTGTGCATCATTTTGTGCTACTGCCAATACGGTGTACACATAAAAATATCCAAGTAATTACAAACTAGCCTATCGAATAATTTAGCATCCTCTGCTCTACTCATCACCACAACATGTTTGCCGGATATTACAAGGTTACAGTTGTCGTAAAAGTGTAGATTTTTTTCACATCTGGTATGATAGATACATACCGATGTATTTTCACAATATTTACGGGAAATCATTCAAATGTGGTTAATGTAACCTTATAATCAGTAGTACATTGTTCAAATTGATGTCCGATATGCCACAATCGGGTCTTCAACGGACTATATGTACCTCCCTTTACGCAAGAATCTGAGAAACTGTGATCACGTTTCAGCGCAGTACAGACGACGATCCAATTTCCATTTGTGGGTTTATGTTGAATTGTTCAAGTCTAAGTCTTTTGTTCAGAACGAGTACTAACAACAGTCGCTATGTTAAAACATACGAACAGTGATGACGATGATTGACAGTGATGACACAAGTGCTGTTTCAGTCCCGTGAGCAACACGGCCACGTTGGTCTCGTCAATGACAACAGCTAATCAACACATCTCGTGTTAATCCGTCACAATAGAATTTCAGAAACATATCGCTGCGTTGATCTAATAATTCGTTATTTCAATTCAAGGAAAAAAGAGACTATGGGTGCATCCGTGTTGTTCATACCTGTGTTTTTCGCACTGGGGAGTTTGGGCGTGTATACATTGTCAGTGAATTTTCCAGAACACACCGGCGTACACTCAAACAGGTACCTATTTTAAGAAAGTCTGCATTTTAGCTTAATTTCACTCATTCAGAAGCATTGTACGATCTTACACACGTCTGTCTATTCTTTTGTACTTGGTAATAGAATTGTGAGGTGCATGCTTGAAAATGGGGATGTTAAGCTGAAGACACTGACCAATTTGTTACTGTAATGATGTCATTTTGCAACCATCATATTGATCAGTACCATATGCCCAGAGGACTAACGTTGGCAAGAGCTTGAGCATCAAGGGACTATTGGCATGCTGGAAACTGTTTGAAGGACAGTAACTGTTGCGAAATGTTGATTTTGTAATGATAGGCTGTACCACATGATGAGTTGGGAGTTATCTCCCTTGACTGTACTTTTAAAATGGTTCTATTAAAACATGGAGTCTTTGGAATTCAACATGTCTGTTTTTTGGCCTAAGAACCCAAACCAGAACATGTAACAGTAACCAGTACATTAAATGTTTCACAGTTTAGAACCATGCTGTACAAATCAAACTGCTTCAAACTTTGATCTGGCTCCTGGTGACTGTGAGACATCAACTACAGGCAGCTCATCTCCATGTTCAACAGCCATGTGCTAACCTTTCTAAATTGCCCACAGACATCAGTAGTGTCCACAATGTCTGAAGTGCGAGAGTAGAAATTGACCAGCGTGTTTGGTTAAGATCAGCAGGTGCCATTGTACCAAACAACCTCAGTGCTATGACTGTTGTAAGTGTTTATTAAGGTGTGGGAGTTCTAACCTTAGTGCCTAGATCATTTTGTACAATAGCAGCCAGTATCGACATGATGTTTTTAGGATAACTAATCAAGACTTTAGCATGGTCCTAGTCAAAATGGTCCTAGTCAAAATGGCCACACGTCAAAATGGCCACAACTGGGACCTTTCTTTTTCATAGTTACTATCACAGGCAGTATACACCATGCACATAGTTGTGGAGTCAAGACAATGGCATTATCAATGTTGTATATGAACAAAGCATCATTGATCAGACTGATATGATCTGTGTGAAACAAGATGTTATCTACAGGGAAAATGAGTGAAAGCGTATCAGCCCCTGTGATTTTCTCCTATTTGCAGCTACAGACCATGTAATGTTACAACATCAGCATCAGTGAAATGACCATGTGACACACTTCTATCATCAAATTGTTGGAAGTTACAATCTGACACACAATAGCTTGAGACAGTTACAAACAATAACCCAGGATATCATGGGTTGGGTGTCATCATCAAGCATGTACTTATACATGGACAGTGTGGATGTAACACAAATTCCTGAAATGGCAATAAAGTATTATTCTATTCTATTTATCTTGCTATCAACTATTCTATTCTATTGTATCACTGAATTCTATTCTATTATTTAAAGGCTATTCTATTGTATCCTATTTATCTTGAATCATCTGCTGGTTTGTATGACACTCAGCAGCCCATGGCTATCTTGTACCTATGAAGGGTTCAGCAGCCCATGCTTTCGTAAGAGGATCGGGTGGTCAGGCTCGCTGGTTGACACATCATTGTATACCAATTGCGTAAAGCGATGCTCATACTGTTGATCACTGAATTGTATGGTCCAGACTTGATTATTTATAGACCGACGCCATATAGCTGGAATATTTCCGACTGTGGCATTAATTACAAACACAAACCAAACCAAAACAAACAAGCTATGTTGAAAATGAAATACTTGTTAATGTACTGATCATCCTGACTGTGACATGACAATCATTATCCATGCTCACATAGTCCCATCAAACGTCTATTTAGACGTGATGCTTTCTTCCTGAAATTCTAGTCTGACATTTACTCTGGTAGTATGTGGGATTATCCTGTAAGACACATGTAGGAGTTTGACACTGTTTGTTTCACCTGATCCACTTTTCTTTCCCTGACTTTGCTGACTGGCCAGCCATCCTGAAACAAATACATGTGACTTTGTGTTAACAGCTCAGACCTCAAGTTTCCAACTAACTTGGATGAGTTACAAAGTGTTGCCAACTTCCTCCATGAGTACAAGAACGATCACTCCAGCTATGTCCTCGTCCTCCTCTCCTGTGCATACCTGTACAAGCAAACCTTCGCAATTCCAGGATCAGTGTTCATGGTAAGCCAAGAATTATATACTGGTATTCATGAGTTATATACATGTTAGTTGAGTACGAATCAGTAACGTTTACATAAAGACATCACTGTTAACTAAGGATTTATGTTTGCCGCAGTTACGACATAGATATATGATACAGACAGGATAAAGGCAGCTGATTCCAGTAACCTCGTAAATCAATGAGCAGGTACTTTGTTCTTCTTGTTTTTCAAAATATGTTTATGGTTTATTGCTGTTGGTTGTTTTTCTGAAGAACCTACTTACTGGTGTTATTTACGTAACCAACACGATTTGGGTTCATCCAGTGCAGAACCTACCTGCTGGTGCAACACTTAGAACATTGGTGGGGTTAACTATGAGTTAAACCTGTGTGCTGTTGTGTTCGCAGAACCTACTGGCTGGTGCAACACTTAGAACATTGGTGGGGTTAATTATGAGTGCTGTTGTGTTTGCAGAACCTACTGGCTGGTGCTCTGTATGGACCATGGGTTGGGTTCATCCTATGCTGTTTCCTGTCTTCCTTTGGAACCTCATTCTGCTACCTCCTGTCTGATACTTGTGGCAAAGAATATATCGTTCGATATTTTCCACAAAAAGTGAAATATTTTCAGACTTTGGTAGGTACAAGATTTATCCACTTTCATCTATAGTAATGTCTGATGTTTCCTGTTTCTTTTATCTGTTGATGTCTCTTAGGGACAATTCATTGATGTGTCAACACGGTACATGAAGCAATATTTAGCCCTGCATGTTTTTAATTTTCTTCATGTCTTACTGTTAATCGTACATGTATGGTCAGTGGGATCTGAAATATTTTTATCTCTTGCTATGATTACCCTTGGATATGTTTCATGTAATCTGGAGCCTAAAAGAGCTGTTGTTTGCCAGTTGAGTTTGGAACTATTTTTGGTACCTACTGGAAACAATGTCTGTAATTCCAGCATAATTTCGACCCATGAAGATCCGGGTTAGAATTAATCTTAGTAACCCATGCTTGTCGTAAGAGGCGACTATAGGGATCAAGTGGTCAGGCTTGCTGACTTGGTTGACACATGTCCTAGTACACCCCATCCTGGTAAGAGATTCTAGGCTTCTACTAGTACACCCCATCCCATGTAAGGCTTCTAGATTCTAGGATTCTAGGCTTCTAGTACACCCCATCCCATGTAAGAGATTCTAGGCTTCTACTAGTACACCCCATCCCGGTAAGAGATTCTAGGTTTCTGCTAGTACACCCCATCCCGGTAAGAGATTCTAGGCTTCTGCTAGTACACCCCATCCCATGTAAGAGATTCTAGGCTTCTACTAGTACACCCCATCCCGGTAAGAGATTCTAGGCTTCTACTAGTACACCCCATCCCGATAAGAGATTCTAGGCTTCTTCTAGTACACCCCATCCCATTAAGAGATTCTAGGCTTCTACTAGTACACCCCATCCCATGAAGAGATTCTAGGCTTCTACTAGTACAGTTGAAATCCAGAATGGGTACAATTTCTAGGCTTCTACTAGTTCAGTGTTTCTTCACCAAACTTGGCACATACATACATTTGGTGGTGTACTGGTGCCTTTTGGTAGTTTTGGAATTCTGAATAAAATATTTTTGGCATTTCCATGGCAACAAGTTTGACTTAGATTGAAATTGGTGGTTGTGCTCCTTTCTGAACTTTTAAAACCTTTCAATACTCTCCTTCCACATTTCTTTATACACATCAAAACATTTGACATAATCATAACTCATAGACATATTCATGAAGAGTATTTTGCCATTGCGGGGGATGTTGATGACTTTGTCTTCTTGTTAGAAAAAATTCTGAATTTTGTTTTACAGTATACAATTTCGTAAGTCACCAGTTTATTGGAGTAAACACTGATAAAGGCATTCAGAAGCTTAGCGTGGGATCCTTTGGATCGTGTATATTGTGTGTTATTGACAATGAAGTTTCACAAAGTTTTTCTGAATGCATGTCATAGTCTGTGTAAAAGTGAAACAAAATGGAAGAGCCGACCTCGTGCTCACCCCCAACTTGGACTTAGGTGCTCAGGCCAGGCTTTCCAGCTTTCCTTACATTCAGGGTTGGCATCTCTGTTTATATCCATATCTGTATCGCACCCAGTTCTGACTGTAATACTGAATCCCTGCCTAACATGAAGGATGACCCTCCCTATCTATATGTACCCTGTATTGAAAATATTCCATGGATGGCACAATTGTGCCATGAAGTGGTTCAGTTTGTCTCATGCTAAAAAATGGATCAGTGTTCTAATTAAAGGTTAGCTCCTTCAGCTATTTAATCTGAGATCGCTCTAGATTTTCAGATATTCATGGGTCATGAATACATAATTTCAAACTTTGCTGATGTTTCAGGTCAGATGCCATACATATTCATCTGTGTGCAGACTGGCTGTATTCTGTCAGAGATCAAATCTCTAGATGATATCTTCACATTATGGACGATGGCCAAGCTGTGTGGAATAGCCGTTGTGTCCCTCTTGCCAGGATTTCTCATAAAGAAGCATCGTGCCAAGCAAAAAGGAGTAGCAAATCTTGTGATAATTATGATATTATGAGCTGGCAGGTGTATCGCAAAATTAACACATTTCTACAGTGCATTCAACTCTCTGTAGTAATATATGTCAACATTTGATTGGGAACTTCTAAATGTCCAGGAGATGGGTAAGTTTGACTGGATGTTTAGAGATGTTGGTATATGAATAGGATGTGATTTGGGCTTCGTTTTATAATAATAAACAAAAGTAACTCATCTTCCTGCATGATACTCACAATCTTAAGTCACACTGCCTCAGTATTTCAAGATGTGTAAGAATATGTTGGACACAGTTTCCACCTAAAATCCATTGTATTGAAACATATGCAAAGATTTAAATTGAAATGAGCTTGATCTGTCTGTGATAAACATTAAGTCATTGTTAATAATTTCACAGAGGTGTGTATGTGTTTCCATTTATTTATTCATGATCATCAGTAGGTCTCCTGCAAAGTTGTTAGAATGTAAGTTACTGTGAAATTCTGAACACTTCACACAAAAGAATGACACGTACAAACACATCTTTATGCAAGGTATCATTTGACATTTGAAGAATACATTCAGTGTTTGATGTTACTCTTTACAATACAGGATATTGTTCCCTCCAAACATTCACTGGCTCTTTGGAAACATCCTTTGACATGTGTGAATGCTACCACTGATTTAAAAACATTTGCAATCGTATCAAAGGGAGATAATCTGATGAAATTGTCTGCCCTTTGACTGTTGCTAACTGCCCAGGGTGCCGATGCACAAAGCAACCTATACCAGGTGTAAGTCTATGTTGTGATATGGGAGTTACGATCACCTTAGCGCTAAGATCACTTTGTACAACGGCACCCAGATTTGTTCTGACTGTGGCTACAGATTTCAGTAAACACGTTTGTATAACCAATATTTTGTTGCCTTTACTCAGTAAGAAATATCTTGCCCATGATATTTTCATGATTTCATCAAATTCATGGTGGTTGCTGTTTTATAACCACAAAGTATGTCTGATTGAATGCTATATGCATATATGTACTTACACCTTCATTCATTGATGAGTGCCAATAGTTGACGTATTGTCCGCTCTCCTTGTGATAGGAGTATTAACTACATGATCTACTGGGAGACAGTTTGTACAATGATGGGATGTAATTTCAATGTTTATGTGAAATGGTAAATATTGTTACTTTTGACATATAGAAATGATGTACAAATTTGTACAAATAAATCCTTTTTATATACATAGCATATTTATGTTATTTACGTCTCTAGGACTCCTGATACTGTAGTGCCGCTGGTTTAAGCCCATTGGCCAATGTGATTATCAACCATTTCCAAGATAGTTGTACAGCTAGCTGAAGGTATTGGACATACCAGAATGAAGGTAATCCTCTGGACCGGTATCCCGTTGGCGACGAGTTTTGGGTGTCCTTGGGTTTTGTGCCATCTAGTGGATGAAGGGCCCAGAAATAGAGGTGAGTCTGTTTTGAGGTGGTAAGGCAGTCCTTATGGGTTGTGGAGGTGGGAAGGGATGGACAAAGGGAGTTTGATGAGAGTGTCCACGTCAGATGACAAAGACAAGGGTGGTGACTCTTCATGTGTTACATACCTTATGTCAAACAAAAAAAATGTTGTGGTTCCGATTACACCTCTTTAAAATTTAGGATAGGTAGGTAGGATTTATTTTTTTTTAGAAGTAAAGTACAAACTAATAACACATTTATCAATGTGTAATTGTTTATTCAAACAAGCTTGCAGCCATCATGTCGACTTTCTTTATCAGAATGACCAATGTCCGTTGGTGCCAGGATAAAACAATGGTATCTGAAAGCTTATTTTCTTCATACCCCTAAAAAAAACTAGGGTCGGCACCAGAATTCAAGGGTCGGTTGGGTAATCGGAACCACAACAAATTTATTTTTTTAGGCCTTATGTCAAATATACAACAGAAACAACACAGATCCAGTTTGACCTCTTGTTATTTATTTACTTCACAACAGATTGCATATTAATATCATATTTACATATGCACAAATAATCTCTACATGACTCTGGAATGTACAATAGTCTATGCAACAGAGAGCAGAAAAATCTTCAAAATTAACAAGACAAGCACAATCGTGAACCAATTTGAATGGGGTAATACAGATCTAGATTACTATTTTATTACTCAAAAGGTAATACAAAATATCACCCAGGAAAACAACCCTGTGAATAAAATTATTTCAGGAATGGACCATTTGAGGTAATATTTGGTAAAATTAACAAATTCAGTAACATTTCTGTTGTTAATTTCACTGTACAACAAATTCTTAGTACAAGCGCTTGTTTGGATTTAATAATATTTTACTCTTGTGTCAAAAATGGTAAGTGTACAATGACTTGTGTAGCATTTTGCAGATCAAAAGGCATCACACCAACCAAAAAAATAGTAGTTTGGCATTTTACATATGTTTATTTCATTCAGTTTCAACATGTTCATTTCATTCACAAATAAATAACTGATGATGATGGTGAAAAATTGTGATCCTAAAACAATAACGGCATTACTAAATCCACTGATGAAACAATATATTTTCATTTCCTGATTGAGTTCTGTCAAAAAACGTACACAATGATTTTGAAACTCACATTTTTTAAGGAAACATAAATTGAGCTAGACAATGTATTTTCATGGCTTATAGATATGTTTGAGTATTTGAATTTGTATTTCTTGTTTGTGTTTGTTGATATATAAGGACAGATATTTTAGCCTATTTTTGTGCCTAAAATACCACAAACCAACCCCAACATTTTTTCATTTTCCTTGATGTCATGTTCACCAAATCCATCAATCATGAAAAGAATCTGTCCGGCTGTGCCTAAACAGTTACTTCCTAACAAAATATTCTTTTGAAAGTGGGCTTTGAAAACTGAAACAAACATAGGAAATTACTCCAAACAAATTATAACTGAATAATTCTAAATCTATTCTAAACAATTTTGTTTTCCTGAACAACGAAACTTCTGTTAAGCAACCGTCATGTTCAGGCATCATAGTCCTTCAATGGTTCATTTTGTAATGAATATTTTAATCCTGATTGCAGTTGGTATTTATTGTGGTTTAGTGATTTTCATTGGGAATTATCAAATGTGGATTCCAAGTGTCCACAGATCACAGCTCACGAGTAGCCATGACCCTAAACCATTCTACAGGAGATAAACGAGGATGTTTATATAAATACTGTAAATAATCCTGGAGTTGTGATATGCTATGGAAACTACAAAATACCATGGGACCAGCCCTGATCATGTATATTAAACAAGTACAAAATGATAACTTTGATTATAACCGACTGATAATCCTGTATGTGACGATGGAGTATGGCTAATCCTTTGAAACTGGATTATGATTGGACCTTTGTTACGTGAAATGTATGTGAATAAGATAATCATTTGAAAATAAATAGGATATGTTAAAAAATAAGGAACAAAAACAAATTAAATATGGATATGGTCTGAATAAGAAACTCATACAAAAATATCTGAAATTGGAGACAAAACAAGTGTAACAGTGGTTGGGTTACAGATGATCTAAATGACTAATATGGTTCCTTTTAAATTAAATCTGTGAATTAAATATTAATTCTGATGAAACAATGCTTTGCAAACTCAACTCAAATTTTCAACACTTGTCAGTGCCTTTAACTGAGTCAAAAACCCTGCTCCTAAGAATGGCCATGTTATGCACATTCCTGCATTTCCTTCAACAATCTTCATAAGATGTCAACAATGAGATCATGGGAAAAGTAAAATCATAGTCAACGATACCGTCATGGTAAAACAAAACATAATGAAGAGATTTAATACTTCAAACCAAAATAAATCTTTGGTGTTAGTAAGACTATATTCAGAAAGATTTACCAGTAATGTTCACTCACATTACTGCAATCTATTCTTGAAATTATTCCTAAAAATCTAACTTCTTTTTAGTAATGTCCTAATATCCTAATGCGAGTATTTTTCCAGTAAACTTCCTTCTAATCTACTGGTGTAGTTTCTGTATACAACTTAATGCCATCTGTTCAAGAAGGCTACAAAATGCCCAACTTGGATATGGATGGAAAGGGAGAAAACAATTGAGAAATGAACACGCAGCGTATGATGAAATACTGATATGTGACTGAATTAGAAACACATATTGTAATACATACTTGAAAAGTAAAAATATATCTGATGCACTCTGAAAACAGAGTAGTGAATAGCATCAAAAGCACTTTTCCATAAGAAAAATAAAGGTATGATATTCGATGGATGATGAACCAAACAAAACTTAAACAAATCTTAAAAACCAAAACACTCTGTACATCCCTCACAAATCCTGCTTCACTTTGAAAGGTCCACTATGAAATGTATCGGTATATATTTCACTATGTAGGAACACTAATTAATGACTTTAATTAACAACAGGCTGAGGCAAGGGGAAGGAATGTATCAACATATTATTGCACAAAGTGTGTTATTGAAATCACAGACTGAAACTATTGCATTGTACACAACAGCCAATTTACCATGCCTACCTTGACAGTTATGTCCCTTAGTAAGTCCTTAAAAGAGTTATTTCCCTTGTACTTTCAAACAAAAAAATTTAATCAGAATCTAGCTTTTCTTGAACTACGTTATGTATAGATAACCTGGACCTCTCAAAGCAAACAAATCAGGTCCTTCTCAAACCATCTCCAAAGAAATATTGCTGTGTCTAGTTTAGCAAAAAACATTTCTCAAAGATGCAAGGATGGGAGACCGTGATATTCTAACCTAATGAATATGCCCTTTTTTCAATGTGAACGAAACCTCACTCTTGTTTCAAACACATGCTGGCCCTTTTCTTCCATATGAAAGACAGTGTATATGCCTTTTCATATGTTTTGAGACTCAAAAATCTGGGGACATCCAATTACAGGTCAGGTCAAAATAACCTTTCGCAAACTTGTCCTATGAAATGACAAGCAGGAAGTTAACAGAGACTTTAAGATTACAGTTTTCACTAGCTTTAAAATGCTTGTCTCAAATAGGAATTTTCATTCCAGACTTTACTTTGAAAATTATTTAGACAAAGTTCTCTATGTTGAATTTGAAAACTCTACGATCAGGAATAGATCTCTAAGACTGTATGGCAGCAATTTCCACATGCCATGAAAGTCTCCTCATTCAAACGATTATTAACTGAGGTGAGACAGATGATTTTGATTGAATCAGGCATACATCCCGTTATTATCGTTCAATGTTGTATGTTCCAGCTGTCACTGTTATTAGTTTGATGAAAGGCTGTTCTGATATTTCACTGTCATGGGAAAGTAGCAGGCAGTACGGCCTGATTTATTTATAAGAGTTAGTGAGCGAGTGAGTTTGGTGTTACACCGCTTTTAGCAATATTCCAGCAATATCACGGCGGGGGACACCAGAAATGGGCTTCACACATTGTACCCATGTGGGGAATCGAACCCAGGGCTTTGGCGTGACGAGCAGACGCCTTAACCACAAGGCTACCCCACCGCCCCTATTTATAAGAGACTGGTTGAGACATACTAACCCAAATACCCAGTTTGTTGATAAGATGGGCAGGTAGTTGCACATTTGAGATTACAATGAGGAGCTAAAAGACCATTTGGAGTTGGTTTGAGACAGCCTGTCCTACTACTACCGCAGCTATCCATTAATAAACAACACGCACACTCTGGAAGCGGAGTACAGTCAACATGGTCAGCTGCCTTCACTTGTGGCACATGATGGAGTCTGTGTACACTACATGGCAGACACCTGGGACCACCAGCATCCGGACCCACTGTAGAAACCTTTCCAACCGGGGAAAGAATGACTTCAAATCACTTCTAGAACACTGACTTTTTTCCTCACATATCTGTTTGTCTGATGTGGAACTGCTTGTCAACTAACATGTTTCCAGCTGTAGTTAATCAAGGCTGGATTCTTCCAGCCTGAGTTCTGCTTCTCCCATCTGTTTAGAACATACTTTTCTTCTCATCTTATTTAGAATATACTTTAAACATATCTGCTGTCTTAAGCTAGGCTTTACAGACAAAAGTGTTTTTTTCTAGATTCTTGCTTCTGACTAGCCAGAAAGTCTCCCACAACAAATGCTGTTTCTGTTGGAAAAGAAGATATTCTTTGATAAACTTGGTGTAAGTGTCTACTTCTACAAAACACTCCACCATTTAAAACCCACCTGTAGTGTACACAAACCCACAAAACTGATGTTGAGTAAAACGGGAGGATATTGATAAAGCTTTGACACACAAAAAACATCAACAAAACAAGAAAATGCACCAAATGCATGGACTCTCATCCAATCAGAAATGCTGACACAGCAAAAAAAAATGACAACACTATCTGATTGGATGAGAGTTTGGTGGCAATAACAATGTCAATCATCACTGAAAATGACATGGTAACTTGCTTTGATATGAACATGATATGCAGAATGTTATGAAAAACAACTGCAGCTTTAGCCTGGCAGAAAAATACAAAGGGGTTCTTATATTCAAATGGTCACTGGTTGCTTTTGGTCATTTTTGTGTTTTTTTAAACGTTTTACCCCTTTGAACTTTGCTGCAAAATCTACAAATGATGGCGTATTGTAGCGATCATATCTGCAACCAATTCACAGTAACACCGACAGCCATTTGTTACCTATATCATTGGATCAACAACAAGGTGGATATTTGTGTGAAGAATTCTTTGTCTTTCTACTCCCATTGTCTTTGTGTTAATCTAACACTGCACTTACTCAATTAGGTCACGATAATTCAGCCAAGATCTTATATACTTGCCGTGGAATTTACCTTTTGAAAGTTTCACAGCTACCTTCAGTAAAATTTCACAGCTAACTTCAGAAAATTTGATGCTTAACACAGATGAATAATTGAAAATTGACGATCGCAAAACATCTGCAACGGCAAACCCTGGGAATCCTTGTGTGAACACTCATAACATCTCACTCAACCACATCTGTCACGTCCGACTGTAAAATATATCATCAATTAATCCTTCAGTAATCCACAATTATCACCTACTCGTGTCAATGTGTTAAAATCCCTGTGAAAGCATGATCACTCCATGTGATATATGTTCCATAATCAATAAAACAATCCAACAATAGTTCCAGCAAAGTCCTTGGAGCCAGAAACTTCAGTAGGTCCCTCATCACACATGTCTGTGCATCCTGAAACGATGCCCACAAGCCCGCAAATTGACAAGCAGGACCAAGCATGCACTTGTATAGCGTCAGTACGTTGGCACTGTTTCAACAAGCTCACAGGCAAAAGTTAAGCAGTAAAATGAAAATATCACTGAGTTCAAATGATCCTGAGGCAGAAAACACTGGTCCCATACCTTGACACTCCTCTACACAGAGGTTCCTTTGTCACTCTCTTACAAACACTGGTCCCATACCTTGACACTCCTCTACACAGAGGTTCCTTTGTCACTCTCTTACAAACACTGGTCCCATACCTTGACACTCCTCTACACAGAGGTTCCTTTGTCACTCTCTTACAAACATTATGACAAGGAAATCAAAACAATATGGGACTGGAACATCCACAATTTGATTCCACCGACAAAAAACTTTAACATGCCAGACAGCAAAACTAGATTCAAGTCTACAAGATAAGAAATTGCTTCCTCTCTTTCTTGTTTTTCAACAAGATGATGCAAGCAGATATCAAAACGTGTGACACAACTTGAAGGTCCTATTCTTCTAACTGGCGAAAGTCTTGTGACTATCGTCAATGCTGCCTCTCTCAAAACAAAGTCTTTTCCAAAGTGAAGACCCTTGGCTACCACTGTTTCTTTTCAAAGGATCGTTTTCTCTGAACTGTTGATACAGTTGAATTGGAGCACTCGTCGGAGTCCGAACTGGAATCTGAGCGAGGGTTCTAGAAAGAAACAACAGAAATATCTCATTTTCATGGAATTAACCAGTGTACCATTTGCATTTTCATGGAATTAACTTCAGTACCGGATTCGATTTCATTTTCAAGGAGTTAACTTGTGTACCGATTCATTTTCAAGGCATTAACTTGTGTACTGGATTCATTTTCAAGGAATTAAAGAGTATATCTCAAGTAATTAACCTGTGTACCACATGCATTTTCTTGACAACAAAATCTTGTTATTAGGTATAATAACTGACTTAATTTGTGGTTTTTAAAAGGACTTGCCAAAGCATGCAAAATGGAGCTATGTTACAGAACAATGAAGAAAGGTTCATACAAGGCTTAGGTCACCACTATCAAATAGAAGTTGGGTCACTGCTTTTTTTAAAATGATGAAACATTTACTTTACTTCTGTTGCCCAAATACCTTGCTTGTGGATTCAACTACCAGGTGGAACTAATGATAGGTAAACATCTACAATCGAAGTCACCAGAAGTTCAGTATTGTAAACCTGAATCATAGCAACAAAAGAGCCGTTAAGTACAGCACGGAGGCAAGAACCATGCACTCATATGTTTTGTAGGATTTGTTGTGTATGACATACCTCGTATATCCTCTCTGGAGGAGATGAAACTTGGCTCTTCATCTTCCTGACGGTCATCTCGCGCGGTCCGACAGTCCATCAGAGGCATATGTACACTTGGCTAGTTCCATCTGGAGGTTTTCGGCGCTGTTGGTGGACATAAGCCCCATGTTATGTGACACCTCACTTGTGTTCTCCTCCTCTTCGGAGAACACACCTCCCTCGGAGCTGAGCGTGGATATAGACTGACGACACAGGTTCCGTCGCCGGGCTTCATCCTCGCTTACCTCCCCTTCCTCTTCTGACGTAGTGTCTGCTGAATGCTGCACACAAAAGAAAACAATTTATGCATGGCATTTTGGAAAGTTATCATGAAATTACAAGAAAACTGTTTCCATATTAATGTTTGTTGATAATAGACACAAACAGACCTAGAGATTGTTTAAGTGTGTATGAAAACAATTTGACCCAACATAAATGTATATGCACGGTATCTTCAGTATCTTCAGTGTCCCCCCATAAGTCAAAGTTGCAGGATGATGAAAACAGAGGTATTATATCAACAACAAAACAAGACTGTTATCTTGAATAACCCTCTCATACGCACAGCACGATTCCCCAAACATTATATATATATATATATATTTATCTACAGATGAGAGTCTTATAATGCTTGAAACATACCTTGACGTTTCTGAATTTAACCGCAACTTTCTTATCAGACTTGTCTCGCAGCCTCGGCAGATTTGGTGACAAACATTTTGGCAAAATTTCCGGATCACTTCTTGTCCTCTTCATTGATACAGACACAGTTTGGGCATTTTCTAACACTGAGTTGTCTGCCCTTAGTCCTACTGTATTATCTGCTGTGATGATAATAGTATCCTCACTTGTAATTTCCTTAATGTCTTTGATATCTATATCTGCTGTGTCGATGGGACAATTCAGATTTTCATTCGAGTCTTTTTCTAGAATTGTTGTTTTTGATTGAAAGTCAGGTTGATTGGTGTTTTCAACCTCAACAATATTATACACTTGGTGAACTTGATGCCGCGGGCTATTACATGGCGAGTCACACGTATTGCTTTCAACATCCGAGCTGACCTGACTTGACCTCTTGCTGCTGCATGTGATATCACTACATCCTCCATCACACCCGAAACAGACATCGTTCAAATTACGCTCGTCTAAGTTCTGATTCTTGTTCTTATCTGGACAGTCAGATTCGTTTTTCTTTTCTCTTCTCACAGCCAAACCTGGGCCTGGATGCAAGGTCACCCGTTTAGTTTTTGATTCATCTTGACTGGAGTCCTTCGATGGGCTTCGTATAGGCGAGGTAATATCCTTCAGTGATCCACGGCTGTTGCTGCGACGATGACGGTTCTTGCGGTAGCGCATTTTGGTGGGTGATGGAAGAACTTGTTCAGAACTGGTGGTCATGCTACCTTCTGTCTTCTGGGAGTCCGGACTAAAGAATATGGGATAAAAACTAATTGAAAACCCATTCAACTAAAGGTACACAGCATCACATAGCATAACCTCATGATGCAGAGTCACTGCATACCAAAACACGAACAGTGAGACGACACATGTCTTGCACTTGATCTGTGGTCTGTCATTCCAATTACCAGTAATATATTTAATTATTACCCACGTGGTCAACGTATGGGTAGTTGCATACTAATCTCGAATGTCACATGAGTGTCGTATCACATTTACCTGTGCCGTAATGACTTGACCTGAATTTCTAATAATTTGATTGGAGAACCGATGACCTCTCTTACAATGCGATTGGATGACAAAATTCTTGCACAACCTCTTTATGAAACTGGCTTTGGTTTCAAAGCATAAAAATAACAAATTAATACACTATTTTGTCAATTTTATGCAGGTAAGACGTGGGTAATAAATAAAATACCACACTTAATTAATTAATATGTAATGAGACCTCGTGTAGTATTCTCTATATATTGAATTACTATAAATGCCCTCAATACTAATCACAACACTCCTCAAGGAAAGCATGAGTAATGATGCAGCGATCTGGTGCATCGAGACACTTCATGGACTGTTTAGTGCTCCGAATGAAGCTTTCAGCAAGTTCTTACTGAACCAGTGAGTGAGTGAGTGAGTTTAGTTTTACGCCTCGGTCAGCAATTTTCCAGCTATATGGCGGTGGTCTGTATATAATCGAGTCTGGACCAAACAATCCAGTGATCAACATCATGAGCAACTGGGATACGAGGACATGTGTCAACCAAGTCAGCGAGCCTGACCACCCAATCCCATTAGTCGCCTCTTACGACAAGCAAGGGTTACTGAAGATCAATTCTAACCCGGATCTTCAAAGATCTCTGACCGAACCAAATTCAGAAAAAAAAATTCATAGCCCATAAACATGGTATGATGTAAGATTACTCTGATCCCATATGACAGTACACATTGGCAGATGTACCTTGCAGGATCAGACGATCTGTAGCATCTCTTCTTCCCAATTCTATCCAGCTTCTCCTGGGCCTTGATGATTGGACGGACAATACTTTTCCGTCGCTTTGAGTACAATGCCAGCATCTGTTCTCTCCTACAAGAAACAATTATGCACATTTGATAAACCAATCAAACACACTGCGCTATCATGTGCTGACATAAACCTACTGATAAGTATCTGGTTACATTCTCAAAAGCAACACCGAGAAATACAGAAGTGACAATGTATTATTGCAGGTTGTTGTGATGAGATAACATTGTTATGGAAATCATTTTAAAACCAAAACAATTTGTTCATGTTGTTGATAATAAAAACTTCACCCTCCAACTATCTCTGTCTAGAATTTGCATGAGATGAGTCATACCAAAGGATGAAGTACTTACTTGATCAGCTCTCGTTCCCTCTTCTCCAGCTGCAACATGCACGCCGTCAGCTCCATGTAGAGGTTGTTTGCTCGTTCCAACTTCCGCTCATAGTGCTCCCTTACATCCTGGGCATGCCTGCAACAGCACATTCATTCCTTCACATACTGACTGAAGATAAGGTTAATTAACAAGCTTCAGCCTGAATGAGATTGTGGATGAGCCATATTACATTTCTAGATGGGGACATGGCTATTCAATAGCATCTGACATTTTACTGATACATGTGTACTTGACACCAGCTGTTACAAGCCCCTGAAGTTCAAGCATATTGACAACACTGTTGGTTAAAGAACTTGTGATGTACATTCATCCTGTTACCTGAGTTCTTCCTTCCTGCGTCGGATCAGTTCCTCCTCCAGCTGCGGAAAGTGAGATCCCTCGGACCGCATCTTCATGAACAGCTCACGGATCTCCTCCTGCCACTTCACCTGGGGACAGAAGTCACACATGTTGTATAGACAGTCAGACACACACTTTACTGACAGACACACACTTCACAGACAGTCACATACTTCAGAGATACACACTTCACAGTCAGAGACACTTCACAGACAGTCAGACACTTCACACTAATACACAGACTTCACAGACAGTCATTCAGTCTTTCTGCTGCTGTTTTGCTGTGTGTTCCATTTCCATCAGAAATTCAACAGTGAAGAAATCATAAGAAACTGAACATCAACAAAAAGTCACTGTAACCTCCGTCCCAACTGAGTACAACAGACATATCCTAAACCTGAGCCCTTGATTAACAGAACATGCTAAGACACTCATGGTGAGACACATGGTCAGACAAGAGTTACCTGCTCTTCCATGAAGTCCTCTCGGCTGTAGTTGAGCAGCTCTGGGGAGGCTATCTCCAGATGCATCAACACCTGCCGGAATGATGGCCGATTGCGGGGCTTGGCACTCCTGGAAATACAGGCGGAATATGATGATTGATATCATGACATACCTCTGAAGTAGTTTGTGACTATATGGCCGCCCCTTCATACAAGTATCAATATATTACTATCAATGTTCCGGACTGTGCCAGACTGTAATTGTTTAGACCAGTGAGATGAAGACATGTGAAGACAGCTGTGAGATCAGTCTTACCAACAGAGTCTCATGAGCAACTGAAAACCGTCTGGGCAGGTTGACGGCACCGGGAGGTGAAGGCTGTTGCTGCCCACGCCCCAGATAATGGCTGATGAGTCCACATCCCGATATGGAATCTCTCCTGTCAGCAGCTCCCAAACCACCACACCAAACGACCTGGAAACAGACACACAAGTTATTGTACCACAGATGTTTCAAAAACATTTCCTTCATTCAAATCATTAAATTCAACTGCAATCAGCAATCTTCACAGGAGCATCAGTAAATATAATCTGTATCTTGACCTACCAGATGTCCACTTTCTCAGAGCAGGGTTCATTCCTGATGACCTCGGGCGCCATCCAGGCCACTGTCCCGGCAAACGACATTTTGGTGCTCTTCTCATTCCACTCTCGACTCGTGCCAAAGTCGGAGATCTTCACCACATTATTACTGGCCACTAACACACTGAAAAACACAATGCCACACTCTATACCACAGCAATATTGGGTTTGACATAAATGTCCTGAGTAGATAGTACATAATCCAAACAGAGTGAGCACATCAACTGATGCCTAGACCATCAGTCTAAGTAAACTTAGACTCAGTATTATTCGTTACACTGATATACTGGGTCTAACAGAACCTTGTGGAAGGTCACGTCAGGTAACCTCTGAGCGACCTATGACGGTCCAATCAAACGCGAGACGGCTGAACGGATTAACCAATCAGACAACAGCTACTATTAAGGGTTCGGCGGGACTTACAAAATGGATTTTCTCTTCCCCGTTCGCCAACACTGATCTCCCAACAAATGAAAATTGCATAAAACACAGCTATTTGCCCTGCAGTATATACTCTTTGGGGTTTCTGGTGACATGGCTATCATAGCTAATATTTCAGCAAGCTGACATGCTTGAATACTGACAAAACGCTATTTTCAGCGACTGTTTACTCACTGTTGTGGTGTGCCTCACTAGGAACCGATCGTACGGAAAATAGCATTCGGAATCGTTCGGTACAAACTTTTGGAGGTAAAAGTTCAAAAGGTATGTGCGAATGTCAACTTTCGCGATTTGGTAAGCTGTGTTCTGATTGGTCAATTGAAAAGGTTATCTGACACGGCCTTCCACAAGGTTTTAGACTGCCTAGACCATATTGTTGAATTCAAGTGAGAGAAGTACCTGATAGACCTCAAAGTGAAACAATTCTCAATTAATGAAGTTGGAGCACCATTGATGAAGAATGTTTTCACCACTGCAAAATGAGGGAGTGAGTCAACATCTGTCTACACATCGGCAATATTCCAGCCATATCATGATACAATTAACAATGATAATCAAAAGGATAAACAAATGTACAAAATTCTTATGCAATGTTTAAAAACACATTCAGAAAATAAATTACATTGTACAACTGCTCAATAACCAATATTATATATATGTTACTGTCACAACTTACTTGGGTGACTTAAGATCGCGGTGTATGATCTTGTGCGAATGGAGGTAGTTCATTCCACTGGCTATCTGTTTGGTCCAGTCTAGTATGAGTGTGGGTGGTATTTCCTTGCCGTCTCGAAGCAGCTCGTACAGCTGACCGTAGGGGCAGTACTCCATGATGATACAGTAGCAGGGTGCCTGTGTACACACTCCCCTGTAACAGACATACTGCCATCAGCTCGGGGCACAACCAGGCATACAGGCATTAATTAGCTTGGGGCCACAACGGGTAGGGCTGGCACAATACACTATGTCACGATACGATACATATCTCGATAGTTTACCTGCGATACAATACACATCACGATACATACACCTTGAAAGAATGACACCGTTTTAAGGTTTAAATTGATTTGTTTCAAGGTATTTGTGTATAACAATAACACTATTGTAATAAACAAACTAGTAACTCTATCATACTAGCGTATTTTTCTCTAAATAAGTACTTTAACATGTTTAAGATAATACTGTTTTGAAAAAAAGTCGAGTATCGTTTTGTATCGATACACCAGTCGACGATACAATAGTTGTATCAAACTTAAATGTATCGTGATGTATCGGTGAATTGTCCCAGCCCTAACAAGAAGCAAGTGTAGTATCAGGGGATATCAGGAATAATGACTGGAGTCCCCTGCGCTATACTGTACCACAACTAGTCTCTCAAGTTGGATTTCAAATGCCAAAGAGGATCCTTCTTATTTTTATTAATTATAACTGACTTCACTTTGGACAGTTGGAACATTATAATTTATATAGAATAGTAACCTGGTGGAATGTTATACAAAATAGAATGAATGGAATGTTACAGTATTTTTAGATGCATTGATTGACATCACATAAAATGAATTCCTTATCCCTGGACATGTCCCAGGTTTCCTCCATGTTGAAATACTCACTTGAAAGCAATAATGTTAGGGTGGTTGAGTTTGCGGAGATTGCGGATATCTGTCTCCTTGACATCACGGACCTTCTTGACTGCTACCTCCTCTCCTGTCAACTTCCCAAGGAACACTGAGCCCTGCGCCCCACTCCCCAGCCACTGCAGGTCAGTGATGTTCTCAAAAGGAATCTCCCAGTCATCTACAGAGAATCATCTTAACATGAATACCTCACATTACAGAAGGGCTGAATACGGTCATAGTGAGTGAGGATTGTGTAACACCAGGGGTATTCTAGCAATATATGGCAGGAGGGCTGAATACGGTCATAGTGAGTGAGGATTGTGTAACACCAGGGGTATTCTAGCAATATATGGCAGGAGGGCTGAATACGGTCATAGTGAGTGAGGATTGTGTAACACCAGGGGTATACTAGCAATATATGGCAGGAGGGCTGAATACAGTCATAGTGAGTGAGGATTGTGTAACACCAGGGGTATTCTAGCAATATATGGCAGGAGGGCTGAATACGGTCATAGTGAGTGAGGATTGTGTAACACCAAGGGTATTCTAGCAATATATGGCAGGAGGGCTGAATACAGTCATAGTGAGTGAGGATTGTGTAACACCAGGGTATTCTAGCAATATATGGCAGGAGGGCTGACGGTCATAGGGCTGGGTCATAGTGAGTGAGGATTGTGTAACACCAGGGTATTCTAACAATATATGGCAGGAGGGCTGAATACGGTCATAGTGAGTGAGGATTGTGTAACACCAAGGGTATTCTAGCAATATATGGCAGGAGGGCTGAATACAGTCATATTGAGTGAGGATTGTGTAACACCAGGGGTATTCTAGCAATATATGGCAGGAGGGCTGAATACGGTCATAGTGAGTGAGGATTGTGTAACACCAGGGGTATTCTAGCAATATATGGCAGGAGGGCTGAATACGGTAATAGTGTGTGAGGATTGTGTAACACCAGGGGTATTCTAGCAATATATGGCAGGGACACAAAAAAACGGGCCACACATAATTTACCCATGTAGAAATTAGAACCAAGTTCTTCAGCTAGAACAAGTGAGTGATTTAACCGAATAATGTCACTCATTTGTGACACAATACTCTGTTACTCTTTGTGGAACAAATGACATACATCACTGGGAACAGTTTTCCGATTAAATGAACTAAGTACTGGCACAATACAATGTCCCAGTGCACACATTACATCTGTTGATCAGTACCTCGCTGCCCTACATCTGCAGGTTAGTGGCCTACCTTGTTGTTTCAGCTCTGCAGCTGCTGCCTTGCCGATGATGGTCCAGACCGGACGGAGGCAGCCCAGCAGCCCCTCGAAGAACCCTCTCTGTGTCCCATCCCGGTAGCCCACGTCCACACTGCCTGATGGGTTGTGTATGGGAGTTACAGGTGCTGACCGGGCAAATGTGGGGGATGGTGTGGAGTCGGACGACGACTTCTCTGTGAGGCTCAGCTGGTCGACTTCATGCTCCAAACGGAGCATACTGCAGAGAAAGGGAGAGCAAGGTCACATTACACCAAAAGCAAGCATTCAAAACAGGCAGTAATATTGCTCTATCACAGAGAACTGTTCAGGCAACCAGGGCTTGATAGAATAAGCAATATATCCCTTGATTGGATGACACACAAAGTATACCTATGTACATTGCTCATTTTGACTGGTCGTTTACACCATTCATTAGTGTACTGTCGCTCATTACTGAGTTGACAGATTGATACAGATATTTGGTTAAGATGATTGAATTATAACAGGAGTATGGATATTGAATGCACTACATGACACACTATCCAGTGAAGACACAATATGATGTACAGTGATGTTCACTGTTAAAGAACAACCAATAAACCTATTATTAATCTACAATCTACTCCATGACATAAATGTTCCAAGATATGTGTATGATAATGTATTAACTATAACCATTGTAAGCTATATGTTTGGGCTGGCAAAGGTTTGATCACTCAATGGAACTAGCCAACTCCCAAACCTTCACTATATCAATCAGGCAGAATCTATACCCTTTACCTACAACACCTTACTCACTTCATCATCTGGCAGAACCATGCCCTTTATCTACAACACCTTGCTCACTTCATCATCTGGCAGAACCATGCCCTTTATCTACAACACCTTGCTCACTTCATCATCTGGCAGAACCATGCCCTTTATCTACAACACCTTGCTCACTTCATCATCTGGCAGAACCATGCCCTTTATCTACAACACCTTGCTCACTTCATCATCTGGCAGAACCATGCCCTTTATCTACAACACCTTGCTCACTTCATCATCTGGCAGAACCATGCCCTTTATCTACAACACCTTGCTCACTTCATCATCTGGCAGAACCATGCCCTTTATCTACAACACCTTGCTCACTTCATCATCTGGCAGAACCATGCCCTTTATCTACAACACCTTGCTCACTTCATCATCTGGCAGAACCATGCCCTTTATCTACAACACCTTGCTCACTTCATCATCTGGCAGCACCATGACCTTTACCTACAACACTTTGCTCACTTCATCATCTGGCAGATTTGTTTGTCGATTTGAAATAAAGGACATGTACATGTGATTGGCATTTAGATAACGACTGGATATTAATACATCACAGATACCTTGCAATAATTACTCCACGTAAATCATCGATTCATGATCAATCAGCCTATGAGATGTGACAACTCTGGCTGTTAAACTCATCGTTGATGAGCTCAATTTGTATTCTGCTTCCAATCAAAGGGTGAAAGGAGAAAGCTTTGACTTGAATTTTGTGTTGGTTAATGAACAGTGTGATGGGAATCCTCTCGATTCCTGAATAGTGCTTTGTCTGGTAACCTTTTAACTGGATTGGCAATTTATTAGACGTGCCAATCCATCCGTCTGGTTGAAATACATCTGAATTTGTAACACTGTTCAAAAGTGGACAGTAAAATATTGAAACTTAAAATCAGCTATTCCAATACAAAATAACACACATAGCAGTTATTTATACTTTTATTAATACCTGTACTTTTAATCCTGGCATTTCCCTTAAGATTCACAGTGAAATGTCAAGTTCTACACAGTAGTTCAAACTGTTTGACATTTACAGAGATAAATAAAAATATAATGAAAGCATGCAACTTTCAAGACATATCAAAATTTCAAAAGCTACAATGGCCATATGACAAAAAGACAACTTACATCAAATTATATCAGCTGTGTATAAAGCTGACATTTACAAACTCAATTTCCCATGTATTATCATTATCAGAAGTGTAATTCTAGAATCCCCGTAGGACAGAACGCCTCTCACTGCCCAACTCATCTCAGCAATCAGGAACACAATTCCCATCATAAATCTTGCGTGGGGCAAATAGTTATCACCATAAAGATGGCCACAAGATGAGGACCTGACTGCAGCCAATGCTTCTACAGCTTCATAAACAGCAGACGGCAAGTGAAACAGCTCCTCTCTTGGCAGATCAATTTGGATACGTGAATGGGAGAATACCCATTCCAAAAAGCAAAGACGTCATAGGGTGAACAACTAACGTCAGTTTTCTCACTTATTGACAGGCAAAGCCAACTGCAAGCCAAGCATGAATAAATCTGATGGACTGACGAGAACTCCTGAACAGGTAGTCATGGCTGTGGGTTGAAGTGGGTGGAGGTCTGATCAAGTGGCCATCAGTCAGGCTACTTCAGAGATGTGTTAGATTCAAACCTGCTCTTCATTATCCATATGATCAGCGACTACTTTCAGTGATAGTTCTGTTTCACCAATCTGGTCACTATTCATAAGTCACAATAGCTTGGTGCTATATTGACTAGACGGATGGCTGCTGAAATCACACTCATGTTATTCACTACATTGTTGGACGTCAGTTCAAGTGATTCAAACAATATAAAACTGTTTGTGATAAACTGGAAAATGAAATTCCACATACTGCATAAAACTTCGAGACTCAATTTCATGTCCAAAACTCCTGTGCTATTCACACTTCCAGGAATACAACACAAATCAAGTCACTACTGTTTGATTCGGGCACTTAATTCTACGCCCTGGACAAGACCAGCCAATGGTTGACAGTATTAGCACTTGTCAAGGTCATTTGCTTCATACAAATGTACAAGGTACAGAAGACCTGCTTGTCCCAGGATATGCATGAAGCAATCATCCCACATCTGCCATGTTTACATCACACACAAGGTTATTCGACCCGTGAAGGTCCGGGTTAGAATATTGATCTTCAGTAGCCCATGCTTGTTGTAAGAGGCGACTAATGGGATCAGGTGGTCTGGCTCACTGGCTTGGTTGACACATGTCATCAGTTCCCAACTGCACAGATTGATGCTCTTGCTAATGATCACTGGATTGTCTGGTACAGACTCGATTATTTACAGACCACCGCCATATAGCTGGAATATTGCTGAGTGCGGCGTAATACTAAGCTCACTCACTCACAAGGTTATTGATCTCCGTTGTCACACATCCCTCATTACAGTGAAGACTGTTGCTGTCACACAACTTCACTGAGGATCCTCATCGAAACAGACTATTAAAAAAGGTTAAAATACATCACATTAGCTTCCTACAAATCTGAAGAGTGACTGTTCTGCTTGTCAACACAAATATTGATAAGTCTACTTACTTCTAGAGTGTTTTTTCAGTTTCCCCTAATTAAAAAGATGAAAACCTGACAATAAGAGGTAATCCTGTTCTACACAAGGACATACAATGTCCTGACTGGGACTTGTGGCCAGAAGGGAGTGATGTCTGTTCTACACAAGGACATACAATGTTCTGACTGGGACTTCTGGCCAGAAGGGAGTGATGTCTGTTCTACACAAGGACATACAATGTCCTGACTGGGACTTCTGGCCAGAAGAGAGTGATGCCATGACTAACTTCTCTCTGTAGAAGTCTATGATCAATAGTGGAAACACATGGATTCCTCCCCAGGAGCGACACTGGAGATTGACTTATTCCGAGACAATTTACCCAGAACATCTTGGCAGATTGATGAACACCAAAATGATGGCTAAATCTTACCAGGGTTTGGCTGTTGGGGCAACATTTACCTAATGAAATTGGTGGTAATTTTGATAGCGTGTAGCGTTTGTACGCTAAATCGTCAGCTCCCAACAACAGGCCACTGTGAATAGAATGTATTCACGTTCCAGCAGAACAGTGTTGGTATTGAAGAAATTAATGAAACGATCATGGAATCGAGGAGAGCTCCAAAATGTGATTCTTACAATTGACAGAAGGTTCAGGATCAAGGGTCCACTTAAACGGGTCAATTTGATGATTTAGTTTCCCGAAAGATTGGATTTCAAGTTGTGGTTTCATTCAACTAAGTTGAATAATGATTGTGCTTTGATGTGGAAAGTTGGCCATTCCTTTCACAAGAAAGTTGTCATCCACTGAGTTCATTCATCTTCTCATTCAAAATGAGACTGTCATTTCAAAGGCATGAAATGAATGAGATTAAGATCGAAAACTTGATTTAATTTGAAATTCATTTTCTCATGCCTCTTTTACAGTCTAAAGGAGATTAAATTTCATTTAAAAGGCATGATATAGTTTCAACGAATCTTAATCTAAATCTCCTTAATCATCTGATCTTTGATTAACAACTGTATCATTCTAGCTGCCACAAGTTGTCGCCCTCGCCAGACAGACAGCCTCATCACGGACACACATCACAGGCACCAAGTTTTAACACTGATGAGACAGTTCATTCACTGAAAGGTTCCCTAATAAAACCAACTTCCAACAATGAAAGGTGACAAGACGCATGTTTTCTGATGTCTATTAAAATAACTCTTCGCATGAAAACAGACACAATAAATTGTTTGATGTTTTGACTCATGTCATCACGGTGTTACACCTCTACATAAGAGAGACAAAAATCTATTGACACATAATCTTTGCTTGAAGATTGTAAGTTTAAAATACTGGCCATGTTGGATTCTCTTACTATCACCCTGATGCATGCAGGTCAACCTAGAAATCCCCATACATACCACCTTATGACCAAAGCTTGCCCTAAATCTAATCACTAGGCCTGAAGTATCAGAAGCACCTTCCAGATTAACACATTATGAAGCTCACCTATTTGAGAACTCGAAGTCCGAGCTGGCTGTGAGGACATTGAGCATGTTGGGGCTGTTTCTACTGAACATCGGCTCATCTTTCTTGGGTATGTCGATGGCTTTGGAGGTACAGGTTGTCGCGGTCGACATGCTCTGCTGTGTGTACTCGGGTTGGGCATTACGCTCGAGTGTCATCCTGCTCACGCTCACTTAATATAGCACCTTCTGAAACAAGAGACAAGATGTTCAATGTTCAGTCAACTTTCATATCACTTCAAACAAAGTTGGATGCACATAGCTGAATCCGTAATCATCTAACACCCTTACAGGAGAGCAGACAGATGATCTGATGTCTCCATCACCATACTATATCATGCAACTGTCGAAGCAAGGCTGCATGCAAGTCTACAATTAATCAGCCATGCTGCAACAACAGACAATGACAAACTGCATGAAGGAGTACATTTGTACCACAAAAAATCATTTCTCCTTGAGATTGCCACAGAATTAGCTGTATAAAAGAATTTCTTTTCTTAGCAACATGATTCTGAAATACAATGCTGATTGTTTTCTGTCCAACTCAATTACTTTCCCAAACAAGTACAACATTACTCGTTTATCAGCTAATATAAACCCCTTCCATAGCCACCAACATATAACTGCTGAAAGTGAAGTTAATTGTACAATACTACATCATATGCATGTGTTTCTTAATCATTCTACCATGACTTCAGTAAATCCGGGATTGTGATTGTTAATCAAAGTCATTCAGAGGTATATAATCACGTTATATACCTCTAATTTTCCAACACAGTATGTATTTTGTTTTAATCTTAATAACGCAGTTATGGTAGAATAACAGTGTTTGGTTTTAAATCAAATTTACAGCTATTATAATTTCGTTATATACCTCCTACTTTCCAACACAGTATGTATATCTCCTAATTATCACACAGTGATGATACCGGGTGTTTGTAGAAGGTGAGCATATACTGCCCTACCAGTGACACCCATCACAAACACATGCAGATGCAAGATAATTGTTAGAGTGGAAACAAATCCAAATAAGGGAACTGCCTCAAGCATCATGTTTGTCATCGATGCATCGGTTTTGGAAATAGCCTCCACACATGCATCATGGAAACTTTTCTAAAAGCTTAACTTTAGCCTTAATGTCGTAACTTTGATCAAACATTTGAGGAAAAGTCATATGACACTCATTGAAATCTTCTTAGACTGAGCATGCTAGATTGTATCTCAAAAGTTGTGAAATGAGAAAGCAATCCCAGGAGCTGCTCAAATGTTGCTTGACATAAAGGGAAAGGTGACTGTTGGAAAGATAACCTCATTACTTTTGTCTTGGATAGAGTTTTGTCACTCTGAATCTTATGCATAGGTCTAAATATGAAACAGTTAAGTCTGTCTCGCTGGTCAGCTTTCCTTGTAGTTCAGGTGGGTAAATCAGTAGAAGGGAATTGACTTTTTGGTGGTTATTGAACAGTATCAGACGTTCAATATACCTGAAGCTTCTTGGCCAAATGACATTGCTCTGACTGAGCGGAACTTCTGATTCATTCGTGTGGGGACACAGACCAGCAAGAGAAGAGGATCACAATTGGTACCCATGGGGAGGCCAACTTCTTGCCTGAATGCCCCATTCCCCAATTCTTACACAGAACATCACTTACAGTATCAATGAGATAGTCCAGCATATCAAATATTGCTTTCTCAACAAGGCTACACTATGGATTAGTGTTCAGTCCTGAACAAATGCATCTACTTTCAGTTAGCACATCCATTATAAAAATGTTGTCAAGTGGATCAGTGGAATTACCTGGTCTAATTGAGAATAACCATCCTGGAGTTTCCCTTAAAGATCATTTTGGGCATTGGAAAACATTAAATGAATGTTCCAATCATTTACTTCCATTTGCTAGTCAGAAAATCTCCCAACCTAACGCTTCTTGTTGCTACTGGAGCAGATGACGCCCTCAATTCCAGGATGATGTCACTACATTTCCAAAGGACATGTTGCCAGTTCACAGCTGATTACAAGAATTATGAAACATTGCCAAAATACTTTAGTACTCTCACATATACAAGTATATATATATATTTAGAGTTATTGAATGAGTAAAGAGACTTAAGTAGTTGTGTTTTACAAAACATTGGAAGTCCTTACAGATTTTCTCTAACTAAAGAAGGGAACTAATGTCCAACATCAATTCTCAAGTTTTCTCAAACATCGTCAGCCAACATACATTCCTTTACTTCAATAATTCAGTCAAATTTGCAAACATGATATATGTACAGAGTTGATGTCAGGTAAACGATACCAAGAAGAAAGCAGGCCATTTAGTGTTTCAAACAGAAAACCCTTCCTTCTCCCAACACCAAGTTTTCACTTAAAACTTTTTTTCATAATTCACAGATGTGAAAATATTAATTGTGAATCATCAAGTTCTTTGAACAATAGTTACCCTATTATAGACATCTTATGTACATTTCAAGGATATTTCACAGCCATTTATCAGTATGGAGAAATCCAGTGGCGAGGCAGTGACAGGTGAAGGATTACAACTGAGGAGAGTTTGAAGCCATCAGCTAAAGGACAATACACCAGTGACATCCAGGACATATGTCCTCCTATTAGCTTGGCCTAACTGGAGCTGATGTTATTCCAAGTATGCTTTTAACTCTTGATGCATCTGATTAAGAGTGGGCGTTCTTCAGAAGTTGACATAAATACAACATGATCTTGAAGGACAAACATGAAACCATTTCCATTAGCTGCTAGCGTGAAAACCAGGGCTCAAGTTTCCACATTAAAACATCAGCTCTTTAAAGCCTTGATAAGGTAGATATGTGCTGTCAAATTCATCCTAGGACATCTATTTTCAGACAGCTACAAGTGATATGATTGTTGTATCAGTGAATGTATGGATGGGATGAAGACAAGCTGACAACGGTGCAGCACAGTACTGGTACAATGTACATGGTCCTCTATCAATGGGTGTTTCACTGACAGGTGTCTCTCCCTTCAATCCTGCCAGTATCCCTGATCACAGGCATGAAGGACAAAATATAAGAAATCTTGACGTTTCTCCAACTGTAATGTGAGATATGAATTGCGAAGTCTGTTCTCATTAAATGGAAGCAAACATTAAACAGTCAAGGTGTCCATTTCAATGGCCAATCAAACTTGCTGAGAATGGGCATTTTCCTATCTCCCTTCATTAGCTCTACCCGCTTTTAGGTCCAGAAACATATTTCACTGAAAAGTCTGGAAAGATACCATATTTGGAGAAGGTGTCAAAGTATATATTTACCGATAACAAATGTTTTAACTGAGCTCTGAGAATGGTTTTGAGTCACCTTCAGTAATAACACTAAGCAGTATGTCAGTGCTGGGAATAGAACCAGTTTCTGAGTCATTATGAGCTAACACTGTAACTACTTGGCTGAAACTGAGGACACACAAACACAGTTCTTACAAGGATCAACATTACATACTCCCCCAGCCCATGATTCTTGGACTGAAATGGTTCTTCATTCATGACCAAATGTAGCGGTGCCATGTTTGTGTCTGAACAGACCGTAAGACTTTGTAGAAGCCCCACAGGGAACAGTCCATGGTAGAGAGTCTTCCAACATACATCATTACAAGATTAATGGCTGATCAGTGAAGCACTGCTTGTAACCAGCAGCCCACAGACCGTTACTGTCAATATCCGCACAGTCTACATTCGTTTAGGGGCTCTAAGTCCTCATTAACCTGATTCCGACTGGCCCATAATGACTCACATCCCACCAGGACCAGCTACGACTCATATCTACAGGTAACTGAGCCTGTGTCATTAGCAAAGCTGATTACTGGTTACTTAAATCCACATGACAAATAGCCTGACAACATCAACACCAAGATGGAAAGAATTGAAAACTCAGTCTTTGTAGCAGATAGAAGCGGAGGCTGAGTAAATGGGGAAACAGCAATGTTTTTAATTAGTCAAAAATAATGACATTCTATCGGTTCTACACATATCAGGATGCCTGCACTCCACTTCTCAGTGCCAGACCTCCGCTACAAATTAGAAATCTTATATCGTACTGAAGTGCTAAACACCAATCAGACCTAGATATACCCTTCTCAGGTAAATCACTGCAGGGCAATACTGGATGGCCTCAGTTCTTTGCAACAGTTTATCATTGTTCAAATGAAAACAATATATGCATAATTATTACATACATGGCCTAACTACTACTAAAACTATATACATTTGTATTGAGCTAATAGCCACTAAACTGCTCGATTATCAGTAATATATTTAACGGAACATTATTCATGTATAATACAATGTGATTTTGTTTTGCAAATGAATAAATACCTGACTCTACATAGGCATATAATTTCCAGCAAAATACAGAATATTTTCTATACTGATAATTATTTACTAACCCAAATTTACTACATATATAACCCACTTTCAACATCTTTTTTCTCCACATATCAGTTAAGCACTTGGAAGTTTAAGATGTTCTTAAACTATATGTGTGCTATAGAAACTACACGTTTCTTCAGTAGCAACAGGCAATGTTTATTGATTTCCTCAGGGAAATCTAATGATGATGTTTATGACGTTTCATGAGAGAAGACGTGCTGCCCTTTTCGGCGCGCTGCAGTCAATACAGACCTACTTTAATGTCGATGTTACTTTACTCTTTTAGTTGGTGACATTTAGAGTTGCATATATCTTATTTCAATTCTTGGAAGTAAGAAAATTAATGACCTAAAACTGCAAGTCCAACCTGTTTTAATATCACTGTGTTAGAAGGTCAATGCAGCATAAATTTCATACTCAGGCTTAATGCAAAGAAACTGACTTGAATTGCAAATCAACCAGACAACACAGAAATTCTGCAAAATTTCTTGTCATGTCAGCAGCATAATTGCTGATGGCAGCTATTCAGTCCCTCTCTTCCTCACCCACGTAATGTTTCTAAACATGAAACTTTTTCTACAGTATCTTTTTCTCTAAAACATTGGACATGGGGATTTATAGTACAGCAATATCACATAGCAATGTGTCCAAATCTAGCCAGTAAAAAATAATATCACATTAGTCGGTCACTGATATCTAAGAATCCTTTCTAAAGTGTCAACCTGTGAAGCAACATGAACATTGTCTTAACAGAGACAATATGAACTTCTTTGAGTGGCACTTACA